AAATAATAACAACATCAGCATGTACATTCTGTAGTGCCTATGAGTTCCCAGAGCTAAATCTACACATTTCACTCATACTGTACATATAAATTCACCAGTGCCTGATATGTAGTGGGGGACTTCTCAATAGTTAATGAATGAACAGACTGGGTCTTTAGGGGTGTTTTTTGGGGGAGGAGGGCCATACCTAGCAGTGCTCAAGGCCTATAGGTGCTGGGGATCAAACTGGGAGCTCTAGCCCAATGAGCTACCTCCTTGGTCCTAAGCCAACTTTAAGTTGAATACTGTGGCCGGCTGCTTTTGCTTTTAAGATTTGTGGCGTTCCACTGCCCCAAACACAAGTACTCACTAAGCATGTACACTTTCAGTTTATCTACTGGTACATCTGGCTGGTTGCTGAGATATTCAGAGAAATGAAGGTCTGGAGATGAGAGACAAAATGAAATCCCCCCACCCCACCCCCGACACCCCGCACACAAGATTTCTAATGTCTATATACAATTAAGAAACATTAACTGAATCACCACAAAGAGATTCCCTGATTCTGCTCCCTGGTGCTTCTGAAGGGAGGAAACCCTCCTCTAGGTGAGATTAGACAGCTGCTGATCAGACTCACAGACCATCATAAGCCGTATTTGGCCCAGACAACTGAGTACTGTGTGAAGGAACCAGTCTGCCAACTGGGCAGCGTCAGGTGTCCCTGTCACTGGGCTCTGTGCAGATGCCAGTTCACCCAGCGCTCCAGGAGGGGCTTTCTTCTTCTCCCATAGGGTGAGAGCACAGCAGGCAGGGGCAGGAGCTGCCCCACTCAAACGCTGGTGTCCTACCAGAGATAAGGTCTAAGAGCAGCTCATTCCAGGGAAAACGGCCTCATTGCTGGTCTTTGAATGCAGCAACACACCTCGAACACAGGACTTCACACCTGATTTTTGCAACCTGGAGCTCTTCTCACTCCCCTGGTAGTGAGACTTCAAATGTAACCTCAAAAGCTTCCCTTACCTGTACAAAATAGCTACTGACCTTCCCATAGCGGGGTGGTGGTGGTTGTTGTTGCAGTGCTTCATACGCATAGAACAAGTGTCCTCTGCTGAATGACATCGCCCCACAATTCTCTATCCTTTAATGAATGACTGCTTCATAAAAGGGGTATTATCTTCCTTGCATTTGTATTACGGTCCTTGCATACTGTGGTTTAAAATAGTTAACATTTCCTTGTCTGCCTCCCCTCTCCATGAGAGCAAAAATTTTTTGTCATTCATTGCCATACCCCAGTGCCTACAGTGGTTCTTGACACCTTGTAGGTATGTAATAAATAGTTAAATGAGTGAAGATAAATTGTATTTGTCATTCATTATTCTACACACCAACACCTGGCTCTCTAAAGATAAACCAACCCAACTTCAAACTGATTCATGATCAAACCAAAGACAAGAATTAAAATTCCAGTGCGTTACACAACAGCAAAGGGAAGTGGGGAGCTTGTGAAACAAAGCAGCCGAGATAGTCCAACATCACTTCTCCCACAAAGAGGCATCACAAGCCTTCAAGCTTCCCTGATAAACAAGGTCATCAAAGTACTCAGCCCTTAGCAAGCACCACTCTTCAAAGAAATTTAGCTTTGCATCAACTGCCCTCAGGCCCCTGCAAGAATCTTCTTGTACAGCTTGCAATTTTTTAAATGTGATATCAAATCATAAAAAGGGGTGAAGAGCCTGGCTGAATAATACCTTCATTTTACAGATCTGAGGGGATCTGGGCCACACTTGGCTGTGTTCAGGAGACCGTATGCGGTGCTGAGGACGAACATGGTCAGTCACATCCAAGGTAAGTGTCCTTAAGCCCTGTACCATCTCTTTGGCCTCGCTTTTTCAGATTCTTACTATTTTATAATTTGAAATGTTTCCACTGACCAACTATAATTTTAGTCGGTTTCCTAATCAAGGGGCTGGAGCGATAGCACAGCAGGTAGGGCGTTTGCCTTGCATGAGGCTGACTGGGTTCGGTTCCTCTGCCTCTCTCGAAGAGCCCAGCAAGCTACCAAGAGTATCTCGCCCACATGGAAGAGCCTGGCAAGCTCCCCATGGCGTATTCGATGAGCCAAAAACAGTAACAAGTCTCAGAATGGAGACAATCTGGTGCCCGCTTGAGCAAATTGATGAACAACGGGAGAACAGTGCTACAGTGCAATTCAGTGCTTCCTAATCAAGCTACTGAAGTTACTATTCCTGTCCCCCACCTCATCATCTAATACAGACCCTATCAGAACTAGGTCATTATTTCCCATTTAAAAGAACACAAAATCCAGACTCTACTGTAGCAACACTGCGTCTTTCTCATATTAAGAATTTTATTATGTAGCCAGAACCTGGAAACAACCAAAGTGCCCAACAACAGACAAGTGGTTAAAGAAACTTTGGTACATCTACACAATGGAGTACTTTGCAGCTGTCAGAAGAGATAAGTCATGAAATTTGCTTATAAGTGGATGGATATGGAGAACATCATGCTAAGTCACACTGAGAGGGACAGACATAGAAGGACTGCACTCATTTGTGAAATATAAGCACAGCGGGTAGGGCGTTCGCCTTACAAGCGGCCAACATGGCCGACCCGAGTTCGATTCCTCCGCCCCTCTCGGAGAGCCCGGCAAGCTACCCAGAGTATTCGGTATGCCAGACACAGTAACAACAAAGTCTCCAATGGAGACATTACTGGGCCCGCTCGAGCAAATCGACGATCAACGGGAGGGCCTTTACCTTTACCTTAAAATAACATAATATGAGACTGACACCCAAGGACAGTAGACACAAGGGCCAGGAATACTGCCCCATTGTTGGAAGCCTGTCTCATGAGGTGGGGGAGAAGGCAGCTGGAATAGATAAGGGATTACTAAGACAATGAAGGAATGAAGGTTGGAGGAATCGTTCAGGATGGGAGATGTGTGCTGAAAGTAGATAAAGGATCAAATGTGATAACCTCTCAGTATCTGTATTGCAAACCATAATGCCCCAAAGTAGAGAGAATATGGGAAGGGGAGGGTTGGAAAGGGCGGGTATTCTGGCGACATTGGTGGTAGAGAATGTGCACTGGTGGAGGGATTGGAGTTTCATCATTGTATGAGTGAAACTCAAACATGAAAGCTTATAACTGTATCTCATGGTGATGCAGTTAAAAAAAAAATTATTATGAAGATGTGATCTTCAAACTATATTACCGCTAGGGGTCAATGGTTAATGTTCCTAATTGACCACAAGTTGAAATTGTTACATGTGAGATTTTATAAATATATTTTGCTTAGTTCACATATACACTGTGTGTGTGTTATACATATAACATTTACATGTAGATTTATATGGGGGGTTGGTTTTAGACTACACAGCTCAGTACTTAGGATTCTTACCTAGCAATGTTGAATTCCAGCATGCATAAAATGCTCTAGCCCTTTGAGCCATCTCCCTAGCTTTCTCACAGTATTTCAAAATAAAACAAAGCAAAACAAAACAAAAGGCATTTCTTGGGGCCACAGGGACAATATAGTGCGTAAGGCACTTGCTTTACATGTATCCAATCCAAACTTGATCCCTAGAACCCACTATGGTTCCCTGGGCCCCACCAATAGTGATTCCTCAGCGCAGAGCCAGGGGTAAGCCCTGAGCACAGCTGGATGTGGTCCCCAAATAAAACAATTTAAAAAAAAATTTCCTGCAATCACATAGCTATTTAACTTAAAAGTAACTAAAGAAATAAAAAATTCACCTTTAGTCACATTTCAAAGTGCTCTTGGCCTAACCTGGATAGTAGACACTATCTACTATCTACATTTCTCTACACAACCAGAAAACACAAACAGTGGTCTCCCTGGTTAGGAATGTAGCTTAGCATTAGAGCAATAGCATGGCAGTGTGAGCCCCTGAATTTGATCCCTGGCACAGTCCTCCCAACCCTCCCAAAAGAGAAGCGATTTCTATCACTGAGAAATATTCAATATGGTTGTATTGAAATTGACAAATATTTTTCAAATACTTTAGCTCCCTCAAATACTTTAGAGACCCTCCTTGCATCTCTGAGGCCCTACATCCGACTGCTGACACTGCAATAAATAAAAAGTAAATCTAAGTCCCAGAGTTAAGGAACTTTTTTCCAAGTTCAACTCTTCACAACACAATATGTTCCAACATGTAATATAATGCTCATTCCTCTCTATCAAGGGCTGGAGCGATAGCACAGCGGGTAGGGTGTTTGCCTTGCATGCAGCCAGCATGGCCGACCCGAGTTCGATTCCTCCGCCCCTCTTGGAGAGCCGGGAAGATACAGAGAATATCTCGCCCGCACAGCAAAGCCTGGCAAGCTCCCCGTGGCGTATTCGATATGCCAAACACAGTAACAACAAATCTCACAATGGAGACGTTACTGGGCCCGCTCAAGCAAATTGATGAACAATGGGAGGACAGTGAAGTATCATCTCTATCAAGAGATAGGGTCTATACTCTCTCTCCTCGAACTTAGGCAGAATTTTCTAATTGACCAATGGCAGAATAAGGAATCAGCACGGTGTGATTTCCCAGCCAAAGTCAGATAGGCTATATGGCATCTGCCTGGAGCCTTCTCAGGGCACTTGCCCATGAAAGTTCAGACTACTGCGAGTATTCCAACCATGTGTTCCAGTTACGGCCCCCCGCTGACAGCCAGCACCAACTGCCAGATACAATGAACAGACCTCCCCAGAGAGCTCAGTATCAAGCATTTGAACTGCCCGAGGGCTGGACACCCAGGTGCACAGGGGAGTCATCACAAGTGTCCTGTTTCACTGTTGGACTTCCTGGCACTTCCACTGACTCAGAGGATCACTTGTTATGATCCTGAGATGGTATCGGGAATCTCATCTGGGATCCATGCTTCCAGAGTAGCCTGGACTACCTTAAGAACAGATAGTCAACGGGACTTGGGTAATAAGACAAATACGACCAAGCCAAGTACAATAAAATGTTGATTTTGATTACCATTCAGGGGGCACCATGCTTCCATCCACATCCCAGAATGTGTTCTTGCCGTTCATTTCAGTTGTATATATAACCCATCGGTGACGGCCTGGGTGGAAAAATTAATTATTTAGAAAGTGCAAAGGAAATAAGGACAACCTTAAACAGAAAAAGAATTAGATCCTAATTGCATAATATCAAAGACAATAAGCTTCTTATGAAAATATTTTGGGGCAATGAGAGTAACAGTAAATACAGCATAACTCCAAAAATAAACTTCTTATTAAAATATTTTTGGGGGGCCTGGAGTAACAGTAAAGTGGGTATAGCACTTAGCCTTGCATGTGGCCAAACCAGGTTCGACCCCCCAGTAACCCATATTGTCCCCTGAGCATCGCCAGGCATAATTACTGAGTGCAGAGCCAGGAGTAACCCAAGCATCACCAAACAACAATACAAGTTTTTTGGTGGCGGGAGGGCCTCCCAAGCAGGGCTCACGAGGCCCAGGGGCCCCTCCAAAGATTCACAGGCAACAAGGGGCCTGGGAGGAAGATGCTGCGGTGCCAGCAAGTCCATGGACGCCCCAGTCCCAATGGGGTGCCTCTAGAGGCCTCCAGAGCCACACCCAGAGGTGCTCAGGGGCCCTCCAGGGCTGCACCCCGCTGATGCTTTGGGCCTCAAACCCAGGTCTGTTGTACTATTTCCTGCCTGGCACAACAAAAGTTTTCATGTCCTTTTACAGAAGGGCAAGATTAGTTGAAAAGCCCCCAGGGTGTATATCAGTGAAGGCCCCTTTAGGAAGTGTCTGAAAGTGTTACAGCAGGAACTACGGGCTGCCATAGCAAGGTGCTGGTGCACAAACCGAGACTCACTCTGCGGGTGGGATGCGGGTGGGACCACACAGACCCCTGCTCTTCTCACCTGGCTGTCCTGTCAGGAGAGGAGCAGAGGGAGGGGTGTGTGCTGCCAGTCACTTGGGGTATGCAGGGGAGAAAGAGCTCCTCCCTAGGACAGGGCAGAAGTGTATCCATACAATCACCCCTGAATTCTGTCTCCAAGAAGTACTGAAAAATGACCACCTAAGGGCCAGAGAAATAGTACAGGAGGGAAGGTGCTTGTTTCGCATGGAATTGACCCTCGTTCAATGCTCTCCACCACAGATGGTCTCCCAAGCACTGCCAGGAGTGACCAGTGAGCCGAGTCAGTGGTAGTTCCTGACCACTGCTGGGTGTGGCACAAAAGAATAATTAAAATCAATCAAATTAAAATAACCACCAGAGGGGCCAGAATGATAGATAGTACAGCGGATAGGGTGACTGCCTTACACATGACAGACTTGGGTTGGATCCCTGACATCCCATTTGGTTCCCTGAGCACTGCAATGAGTAATTCCTGAGTACAGAGTCTGGGCAACCTCCTGAGCATTCCAAGTATGACCCTGAACCCCACCACCAAAATAAATAAAAATAACCACCAGATACTCTTTTGGAAACTGGTGATCATACATAATAAGCAAACATGCAAATATTTGGTAGGACCTTGTTCCTTCAAGCCCATTTGTCCTGGAACATATATCTTTCCAGGTCTCTTCGCTTGCTGGTTGACTGATTTTCTCTCCAAGCCCGTGTTCTTCCTTGAACACATCTCTCACTTGCTTGTCTCTATGTCGCTTTGCTTGTGTTTTCAAATGCTGGAGAAGCCTGTGTTCTTTTTTGAACATGTATTTTCTCTTTCTCTCGCTCTTTCTCTCCTTCCCTCTCTCTTCCCCTTTGTCTCTCCCTCCCTCTTCCTCTCTCTCCCCCATCCCTCATATCTAAGCACATTTCATTCAATGAAAACGATCTTGCTTCATTCAGTGGGCCGTTCTTGCCTTGCACACTGCTCACCCAAGTTTGATCCCTGCACCCCATATGGTCCCCGAAGCCCTGCCAGGAGTGACCCCTAAGTATACAGCTAAGAGTAAGGCCTGTGTACTACCAGATATACATCAAAAATGGGGCGGGGGAGAGGAGAGGAGGAGAAGGAAGAAAAACTATATTGCTTCAATACATGAAGGATATTTGGGGCTTTCGGTCCATGGGCTGTCAGCCCCCTAGCCCCATACTTTTTCTCACAAAGAACAACAATTACAACAACAACAACAACAACAACAAAACAATAAAAAGTATTTGGGCAGCTGAAGCGATAGTACAGTGGGTAGGGTGCTTTGAACACAGCAGACTTGGGTTTGATCCCTGGCATTCCATATGGTCCCCCCAACACCACCAGGAGTAATTCCTAAGTGCAGAGTCAGGAGTAACCCCTGAGCATCACTGGGTGTGACCCAAAAAGCAAAAACAGTCACGGTCATGGTCTTCCCGTTGTTCATTGATTTTCTCAAGCGGGCCCAGTAACGTCTCCATCATGAGACTTGTTGTTACTGTGTTTGGCATATAGAACACGTCACGGGTAGCTTGCCAGGCTCTGCCGTGCGGGCGAGATACTCTCGGTAGCTTGCCCGGCTCTCCGAGAGGGGCGGAGGAATCAAACTCGGGTCGGCCATGTTGGCTACTTGCAAGGCAAACGCCCTAGCCGCTGTGCTATTGCTCCAGCCCAAAAAGCAAAAACAAACAAACAAAATATTTGGAAGGATATAGGTTAGGTCATTGTACTGCCAAATTTACTAATGAATTTACTAACAAGTTTCAGTGGAAAGGGCCAGGGATACATTTCAGTGGTGAAGCACTTATCTTGCATGTGTGAGGCCCTGGGTTTAATTCCCCACACTACAAAACACAAAGTGAATTTCTCTGCAACAGTGGAGGCCTCCTAAAAACATATTTGGAATTGTTTCTCGTAGGTCCTTAAATTGGGTAAAGACCTCGATTCCAATCAACATTTGTCACTATCAGTGGATACAGAGCAAACGTTATTGCTCCTCAGTGTATCTATTGAAAGTGAACCTGAAGTGGAGATAGTGAAAGGGCTGGACGCACTTATCTTGCTCGCAGAAGAGAGAAAACAAAAAGAAATTCTTAACTGAGAGGCTATTCACTATTTATTTGGTTCTGTTTTGCTTTTTTGGCTACATGGGGGTGCTCAGGGCTTACTCCTGGCTCTATGCCCAGGGATCACTCACGACTGGGCTCAAGGGACCTTATGGATCGCTGAGGATCAGAGCCAGGTCAGCCGCATGGAAGGCAAACGCCCTCCCCCCCATTGTACTATTGCTCTAACCCCAAAGGGGCTATTATTGTTTTACATTATTTATCCTCCACGAAAATGAATTTTTCTTAATATTTTTCATTTTGACTAATGCAATTTGCTGCAACGTGGATGCATCTAGAGAGTATCATGCTGAGTGAAGCGAGTCAGAAAAAGAGGGACAGACACAGAATGTTCTCTCTCATATGTAGGATATAAACAAACATAGTTAGAGTTATTAAACACCCAAAGGCAACAGAAACTAAAAACTGGCCTTTACTAGAGAGATACCATAAGAGAGGGGTGGGGGAGAGAGGTTAGGATAAGGGGCTATACTGGGACAATGGTGGGAAGAAGTGGACGTTCTGGAGGAGTGTGCTGAGGGATTGTATTGTGCATGAAACGATCATTAACATTACCCATGGTCCCTAAAATGCATTTATTTTTCTTTCTTGTTCTTCTTATGAAATTTTATTTTTTGTGTCTTTTTTTTTTTTTTGGCTTTTAGGGTCACACCCAGCAATGCACAGGGGTTACTCCTGGCTCTGCACTCAGGAGTCATTCCTGGCAGTACTTGGGGGACCATATGGGATGCTGGGAATCGAATCTGGGTCGGCCGCATGCAAGGCAAATGCCCTACCCGCTGTGCTATCACTCCAATCCCCTTTTTTGTTCATGATGATTTGTTACAGGCATTCAACAGCCTAAAACCAATCCCACCACCATTGGGATAATAATTATGGTATACTTTCCCTTCACCATTGTCTCCAACTTTCCCAACCACTCCTTGAACCTGCCCCCACAGCAGGATGCCTAAAATTTAAAGTAACAATAATAATAAGCAGATGGAGAAATAATACAGTACAGAAACAGTATAGGGTGCTTGCCGTCCATGAACCCCATATGGTCCTTTGCGGTCGCCAAGAGTCATCCCTAAGCGCAGAGCCAGGATAAGTCTTGGGCTAGATGTGGCCCAAATCCAACCAAACAAACAAAAATAATACTTTTCATCTCAAGAGAAAAAAATTTTTTTTTTTTATAAAAGAAACAAATATAGGGGGCCAGGGGGCCAGAGAGATAGACAGGTCAGTGGGCAGAACACTTGCCTTGCACACAGCCATCCTGGGTTGAATTTCTGGCAGTACATAAGGTCCCCAGAGCTCAGGTAAGAGTTATCCCTGAGTGCAGAGCCAGGAATAAGTCTGACTGCTGACTGTGGGCTCAAATTAAACAACAACTGAAAAGAACAAATATGGAGGCTGGAGTGATAGTACAGCAAGTAGGGCATTTGCCTTGCACACGGCCAACCAGGGTTCAGTCCCTGGCATCCCATATGGTCCCCCGAGCACTGCCAGGAGTAACCCCTGAGCATCACTGGGTGTGACCCAAAAAGGGGTGTGGGGAGGAAGAGAACAAATAAACAATTAAAATAAAAAGTTCAAGAGCAACAATGGTAATAATACTCAATGAGCACTTATGTGCCAAGCATTAGGCTTGGCAATAGTAAAGCTGGTCTGAACACAGTTCTGGGTGCCATGGAGAGGGGCTGGGTACAAATGGGAGAATGGAGGTGAACACTAGCAGCACACAGACAGACCCTCTCAAAGAAGATGGCGCTGGAGCGATAATACTAAGTAAGGGTAGTTGGACAAGTACACAACCACTGTTCAATCCCTAGCATCCCCTCTGGTCCCCCGAGCCTGGCTATGATCCCTGACCACAGAGCTAGTAGTAAGCCCTGAGCATCATGAGGTGTGGCCCCAAAACCAAAAGACAAAAAAGGGGGGGGGGAGACATCTAGTCATAGTAGTCTTCTTGCTCAGGCTAAAGAACCCTACGTTAGGATAAGCTCCTCCCATTTACTTTTCATCTAACATTTATTAAAAATTATGAAATAGGTAATATTTTTTACTCTATAGATGAAGAAACTAAAGTTAACCAGGTCATAAAACTAAAAAGTGGAGGGCGAGAATGTTGAACCCTAACCATCTAACTCTACCTCTAAGTTTCCTGTGTTTCTTTTCAAAATTTAATAGCACAAAAAGCTTCTATTTTCTACCACTCAGAAAAATCAAACATTCTTCTAAACTGAAGGTTATGTTTCAAATGTCTTACATCTATCTATATGATAGGTTTCAGGAGCTGGGGAGATAGTCAAGAGCTGAAATGCAAGGTATACTTGTGGAGAATATGGGTTTGATGTCCTACATGGCAAAAGATAACCATACAGGTTTTTATCATCCTAAGGGCAATAAATATTCCAAAAAATGTGTATTTCAGGGACCAGAATGATTGTACAGAGGTAGAGTTTTTGCCTTGCACACAGTTCACCCAGATTTGATCCCCAGCATCCCATAGGGTCCCCTGAGCACTGTCAAGAGTAATTCTTGAGCACAAAGCCAGGAGTAAGTCCTGAGCACTGATGGGTGTGTCCCACTCACAAAAACAAATCCAAAAAGTTGTGTATTTCATCAGTAACTTAATTAATAAACACTGAGATTGCTTTTGAGAATTTATTATTAAAACAAAGCTGCAGTGTATGGTTTGCCTTACAAGGATATTTCCAGAACAAACTTTTTGGAGTGGAAATGCTGAAAAGCTATTTGTAATGTAAATTTTGACAAATCTTACAAATTGACTGCCAAAAAGGTTTATTAACTTATAAACTATGGTCTGTTTCCATATTATAACTGCCAGATAGGTATATACCTCAATATTTTCAAAGCAAGAGGAAAACATAAACCCTTTTGGTGTTGGGAGGATCCTCCCAGGATGGGAGAAGCATGCTGAAAGTAGACTATAGACCAAACATGATTGCCACTCAATGCCTCTCTTGCAAACCACAGGACCCAAAAGGAGAGAGAGAACAAAAGGGAATGCCCTGCCAGAGGCAGGGTGGGATGTGGGGACAGGGGGTGGGAGAGATGCTGGGAACCGTGGTGGTGGAGGATGGGCGATGGTGAAGGGAGGGGTATTTGATCATTGTATAATTGAAACTCAAGCACAAAGATTTGTAAGTCTATAAGTACCTCATGGTGTTTCACTAATAATAATTAAAAAAATCTTAAAAAAAAAAACCTTTTAAAAAAGTTGCATTTCTGAGTGGGAGAGATAGTGCAGAGAGGGAAAGCACTTGTTATGGATGTGACTGAACCCAACTCAGCCTGTGACATCACAAGGTCCCCCAGTACCACCAGGAGTGATCCCTGAGCTCAGAGCCAGGAGTAAGCACAGGGCGCAGATGGGCTTGGCCTCCACCCCCAAATTAAAAACTTAAAGTGCCCTGTAAAAGGTCCTTGTATACTATAGAGAAGAGTTCAATCAAATCTCTATCTGGAAAGATAGCACAGTGGGTAGGGCAATTGCTCTGCACATGACCTATATGGCTTTGATCCCTGGCATCCCATATAGTCCCCTGAGCATTGCCAGGAGTGACTCCTAAGTACAGAGCCTGGAGTAATCCCTGAGCATTGCCAGGTGTGGCCTAAAAAACCAAAAAATAAAATTTAAAAGACCAAATCTCCATCTCATTCCTAGTTATCATTAAAAAAAAAAAAAAATATATATATATATATAAAATCCAGATCCCGGACGAGAACAGTGCAGTCTCTGCCCCCGCGCCTGGGTGTTCCTTCCCGGAGTCCCTTGGAGGGGAGCGGGTTGAGCTTTCCTCCCCGCCCCGACCAGGGCTACGGCAGCCGAAGACCTCCAGGACCAGCCACCACCATGCTGAGACCACTCTCCGCACACCTGGAGGTACTGGCAGAGGGACAAAGCCACGCGGGTTCCGGGGCCGAGACCTCCAAGCCTACTCGAATTGGAGTCGAGCATCTTCCACCCAGATCCTCCAAATTCCAGTAGGCGGGGGTCACACCCACCACCTGGCCCCCTGGCGCCGTGTAATCCCATCAGCGGCCAAGACTCAGAGACTATATATATATATATACACATATATATATGGTACTCACCAAAAAACTGCTTGTTGTCTTCATAGTACTTATTTCCATATTTATCTTCACCCACTAAGTTCCCAAGTCTCACATCATTTGCCCTGTGAATGTCAAAAGAAAACACGTTACAGAATGATTCTAAAACACAAATGTGAGTCAAGTGTGCACACCAGCTTGCAGAAACTGTAACCATTACTTGCACTACCACGTAGAAAACTTCCAACTGATAAGCTTAAATCACACTGAATATGGGGCTGGTAAGAAAGTACAGGGGTAAGGTATTTGCCTTGCAGGAGTGATCCCTGAGCAGAGAGCCAGGTGTGCGCCCCAAGCACTGATGGATGAGTCCCCAAAAGGGGGTGGGGTGGGAGGGATATCACTCTAATTAGGTATCTGCAATATCTTCTGCTCAAAAGATGATTTTACCTTCCTACTATCATCCATGGGCTGGAGCAATAGCACAGCGGGTAGGGCGTTTGCCTTCCACGCTGCCGACCTAGTCGGCCCAGGTTCGATTCCTCCACCCCTCTCGGGGAGCCCGGCAAGCTACCGAGAGTGTCTCACCTGTACAGCAAAGCCTGACAAGCTACCGGTGACACATTTGATATGCCAAATGCAGTAACAAAAAGTCTCACAATGGAGACGTTACCACTCCAGTTCAACCGCTCCAGTTCAACGGGAGGACAGTGCTACAGTGCTACTATCATCCACAGGCCCTGAATCTGGGACCTGGAGTCAAGTCAGCAAACCCCTGGAGGAAATCAGAAGCCGAAGTTGTCAACATTGGAGGGCTGAGCAACAGTACAGCCGGTAGGGCCGTTTTCTTTGAACCTGGGCCAACACAGGTTCCATCTCCAGCATCCCATATGGTACGCTGAGCACTTCCAGGAGTAAATCCAGAATGCAGAGCCAGGAGTAACCCCTGAGCATCTCCAGGAGTGAGCCAAAAAGCAAAAAAAAAAAAAAAAAAAAAAAAAAGGAAAAACCCGCCAAAGTTGCCAACTTTTCTTGGGGGGGGGGGGGGGAGGGGGCGGGTGATGCACCAGGTAGTGCTCAGAGATCACTCCTAGTGGTGCTCTGCGACTGTTACACGGTGCCGAAAATGGAATTCGATTCGGCTGCAAGCCTAGTCCCCACTGTACTATCTCTCCGGACCCTGTTCTCCACCTTAAAAAAGAAAGGACCGGAATTTCAAGGGACTTTTCGATTCTGGTTTGCAACGGCAGGACTCGGGGGGGAGGAGGGGGTTGCCCTGCGATCACCTAGTTCGAGGCACTGCAGAGACAGAACCCAGAGAGGCAGCAAACACTTGCCCAAGGTCACAGTCAGGAGCTGAGCAACTCTCGGGACTGCCCCAGGTGCGGGTGCGGGGTGCAGGTCACGCGGCCACCGTCCCGCACCCCGGAGCTGGTTTGCGGCAGTGTCTCGAGAGACCCCGGGAGGACAGACACTCGGCCAACGGGGTGGGGGGAGGAGGACTGTGCGGGGGTCGTAGGTACGGCGGGGCGAGGTCAGCCGGGACGCGCGAGCTGTCCTTGCCCAAGGTGACCGAGCCCCGGCGCCCGTTCCCGGAAGCCCGGCAGCGCCCCGGGCCCGGCGGAACCGGGTTTGCCTCCCGGCCGCCTACCTGAAGAAGATGCGCAGGTAGCCGCGGAGGCCGCCGTGCCCAGTGAACTGCTGCAGCCCCCGCCGCAGCACCTGCAGGAGCTCCATCTTGGCCGGCAGGCCCCGCCTCCCCGATGCGCCGCCCCCGCGCGCCGTGCGGAAACCAAGGCTCGGCCACCCGGGAGCCGCACGCCTAGCGTTCCGCCGCCCCAGAGCTCCGTGCGGAAGCCAAGGCTCGGCCGCCGGGGAGCCGCGCGGCCGTGCTTCTGCGCCTGCGCGTGGCGGGAGCGCCCCGAGCCGCCACGGTCCAGCTTTCAAGCCTAGAGTTTCGCGGTTTCCCCGGGAAGCCGACGCGTGGGAACCGGCACAGTTAAACCGAGGTTTTCTCAGGTGACCTTAAAAAAAAATAAAGAAAAAGAAAAGAAAAAGCAAGACATAGGCTGGAGAGAAGAGTACGGCGGGGAAGGCGCTTGCCTTGCAGGGAGGCGACCGGGAAACGTTTCCTGACACCGCATCTGGTTCCCTGAGCACAGAGCCAGGAGTAAGCCCCGAGCACCACTTGGAAGGGCCCCAGAACGAAGGGGGAGAGAGGAGGAGAAGAGGTGGAGGAAGAAGTGGAGAAGGAGGGAGGAGGAGGAGGTCGAGGAAGAGATGGAGGAGGGAGGGGAAGAAGAAGGGACGAGGAGGCTGGGCACGTGCTTCCCCTGGTGGGAAATAATTGACCTAATAAAATAAAATAATACTCCTCCAGGGGCTGGAGCAATAGTACAGCGGGTAAGGCCGGGTAGGGCGTTTGCCTTACACGCGCCGACCCGGGTTCGATCCCCAACATCCTATATGGTCCCCTGAGCACCGTCAGGAGTAATCCCTGTACATCGCGGGGTGTGGCCCAAAAAGCCACTGTAGCAATGTCCTCCCGCGGTTAATCAATTCGCCTGAAGAGGCACCAGTACTGTCTCCATTGTGAATCTTATTGTTACTGTTTTTGGCATATCAATTCGCCAACAAGGAGCTTTCCAGGCTCTGCCCTGTGGCTGGATAGCTTGGGGCTCTCTGAGAGGGACGAGGAATCCAACCCGGGTGGCCCAAATGCCCTACCCGCTGTACTATCTATCCAGCCCCCAGAAAGAAGAAAAAAAAAGAAAAAGAAAAGCACTGCTCTCCCAAACTTGTTCTAGCACCAGGATTTTAATCTTTTTAAAAAATCAAGGTTCTGGGTCTAGAGAGATAGCACAGCGGGTAGGGCGTTTGCCTTACACGTGGCCGACCCCCGTTTGATTCCCAATATCCCATATGGTCCCCTGCGCACCGCCAGGAGTAACTCCTGAGTGCAGAACCAGGAGTAACCCCTGTGCATCGCCAGGTGTGACCCAAAAAAGAGCAAAAAAAAAAAAGGCAAAGTTCTATTAAGAAATTCAATATTGAACATATGGTAGAGTTAGGTACAGCAAGGAGAAAGAAAATTAAAATATGGAATTATGTATCTGCTCTCGATTTTTTTGGTGCTTTACTGGAAATGTTAACATTTATTAGAAAAGCAATTTGTACATATCTTAAATTTCAGTAATAAATTGAGTGTTGATTCTGATTATTTTATAATTTTATTTTTGAAGCATTGGTTTCATAGTAAGAGTTGTAACATCTTCATAATTATTGTTGGGTAACATTGCTTTGTCCTTCAAGAAGCTTAGGTTTTATCTGGTTACACCCATTAATCTGGTTACACCCATCAATCTGGTTACACCCACCACAGTGCTCCAGAGGCACTTCCACTTCCATTGTGTTTACATGTAAACATGTAAACAGTCTTCCCTATGCTCTCCTTCCCACCCAGTTAGTTAATCAGCTTTCTCCTTAATCAGACTTTGTTAATTTGTAAGATCAGTTTCCCAGAAATCTATGATTTTATATGTATGAGTGAAATATTGTACAGACAATCATTTTTGTCTTCCTTTGTTGTGGCAGCCTAGGTCGGCCTTGAGATTTTGTCGGCCTCTCCTTTCTCATCCTTCTCAGTGCTGCCATGTCGGAGAAGCCTTCAGGGTCAGGTGAATGAGACCAGTTGTAGTTACTGGTTTTGGCATATCGAATACACAGCGGATAGCTTGCCAGGCTCTTCCGTGCGGGCGGAATACTCTCGGTAGCTTGCCAGTCTTTCCGAGAGGGATAGAGGCTTTTGGGGTGACCTCTAATCACCCTTGTAGGTGTTACCATATTTGAACCCTATCAAATATGGTATGACAATTCCGGAAGATGGGTATTTAGTGTTTTATGATGTGTCGCGCGGCCGCAAGCGTCCTGGAATGTGGCGACGGCTGGGTAGTGGAAGTAGTGTCGAAGGAAGACAAAAATGATTGTCTGTACTTTCAATGCACGTACGCTAGCATCAGATGCATCCATCGAGGACCTGATGGTACAAGTGCGAATGATCAAGTACGACATCATTGGTCTGACCGAGACAAGAAGGCACGAATCTCACCATGCTGTTTTCGACACTGGAGAAGAATTGTTCCTCGGAACATGCGATAAAAGAGGTGTTGGAGGCGTCGGTGTCCTTGTCAACACAAACTTGGCCAAGAGCATTGATTCATTCGAATGCCTAACAACCCCGAATCGGACGTTTACATGAATAGATGTGGCTCACTGCCTGCAGTTTCTATCTTCATTGTCTACGCACCAACATCTCATTATGATGAAAGAGAAATCGAGAAGTTCTACATGGAGCTAGAGAAGTTCTATAAAGAAGACCACACCTTCTACAAGATCATTGTGGGTGATTTTAATGCCAAGATAGGACCAAGAAGATCAGCTGAAGAACTTCACATCGGGACCCATGGCCTAGAATGGAATGAACAGGGTGAGAGACTGTCTGAGTTCATCATGTCGACCAAGACCATTCATGGTAACTCACAGTTCCAGAAGGCAGAATCTAAACGATGGACATGGGAGTCTCCCGGTGGACGATTCCACAACGAAATAGACCACATCATATTCAATCGACGGTTTTGGCTGACTGATGTCGCTGTTGTCCCAAAATTTCGAACGGGATCGGACCACCGTCTCCTTCGTGCAAAATTCTACTTCACAGAGCGGGGAGAAAGGGCTGCAAAGTTCAAAAAGAGAACTCCCAGAATGACCACCAACTGGGAACTCTTTGGTACTATTGCGGCAACATGGGAAGATGCCATTGTTGACAACATTGACGAGGAATATGATCAACTGGTTCAGCACCTCCATGAATGTGCGAGGAACGCCAAGAGAGAGATAGCCACAAAAAATCGCCTATCTTCGAAAACTCTTGAGCTAATTCGCCAGCGTGGTTTGGCGCATGCCTCAGGCAACCGCAAGCTAACGTCCGAGCTCGCAAAGCAGTGCAGAGATGCGATCAAGGAAGACCTCAAAGAGAGAAGAGCAGAAGTACTGGTAGATGCGGCAGAAGCCGGGAAAAGTATTCGTAACGCCCTCCTGTCCTTCGCCAACTATAAGACCAAGATGACTGCCCTCCAACGTCCTGATGGATCCATCACATCCTCCAGAACGGCAATGGAGAAGATTATCTATGACTTCTACTCAAATCTCTTCGATAGCCATGTCCACTTGCCGACATACCAAATTCCACAGGATGGATATGTCGTTCCCAACGTTCTCCCTTCCGAAATCCGACACGCCATTTCGTCAGTAAAGAAGCAAACAGCACCCGGCCCAGACAAGGTCAGACCTGAACACCTGAAGAACCTGCCGTCAGTACTCATCAATACACTGGCTCGGCTCTTCACTCGCTACCTGTCTGAATGCAAGGTTCCGTCCCAATGGAAAACCAGCAGGACCGTACTACTGTTCAAGAAGGGAGACATCCATGACATTGACAACTATCGCCCGATCTGCCTATTGTCTGTCATCTACAAGTTGTTCACTCGAGTCATCCTAAATAGGATTGGCAGAACACTAGATGAAGGACAACCATGCGAGCAAGCAGGGTTCCGCAAAGGATTCAGCACCATCGACCATATCCACATGATAACCAAGCTCATTGAGGTTTCTCGGGAGTTCAAGATGCCGCTCTGTTTAATGGTCATTGATTTAAAGAAGGCCTTTGATTCTGTTGAGACGGAAGCGGTCATTGAAGCCCTAGCCAATCAGGGCATTCAAGCCCAATACATCAGGATCCTCCGTGAGCTCTATTGTGGATTCACTACCAGGATCTCACCATTCTACAAAGAGGTGATCGTTGATGTCAAGAGAGGGGTGCGGCAGGATGATACCATTTCACCGAAACTCTTCAGTGCCACCCTTGAGAACATCATGCGACGACTGGAATGGGAAGGAATGGGAGTGAAGATAGATGGTCGGCAACTACACCACCTCTGCTTTGCTGATGACATTGTTTTAATAACACCAAACATCAGCCGAGCAGCACAAATGCTGGCCGACTTTGACCGTGAGTGTGGAAAGGTAGGACTACAGCTGAATCTCACGAAGACAATGTTTATGAGAAACAGCCTTGTTCCTGACGCCCCATTCGCTCTCAACGGAACAACCATCTCCGAATGCAACAGCTATGTCTACCTAGGTCGAGAGGTCAACATGACAAATGACCTGGCACCCGAGCTGCACAGGAGGAAGAGAGCGGCTTGGAACGCCTTCAAGAATGTCGAAGAAATAGCTAAGAGGACGAAGAACCTCTGGCTCCGGGCACATCTCTTTGATTCCACTGTTTTTCCTGCATTAACATATGCCTCAGAGACCTGGGCCCTACGCAAACAGGATGAGAACGCTATTCAAGTCTCCCAAAGAAGAATAGAAAGAGCTATGCTTGGAATATCACGTTTCACTCAAATGAGAGAACGAATCCGGAGTTCTGACATCTGTCGACGATCAAGGATCAGGGACGCTGTCTCATTTGCCAAGGTGTCGAAAATCAGATGGGCTGGTCACGTAATGAGATTTAAAGACGACCGCTGGACTAGAGCTGTTACTGATTGGATTCCACGGGATGTCAAAAGACCGCGTGGCCGCCCACCTACCAGATGGTCAGACTTCTTCGTCAAGATCATGAACGATCGGTTTGAGGCCCTTCATGTTCCCGGAGCGAACAGATGCCATTGGGCTACACTAGCACGCGACAGGGACAAATGGAGACGTTACTGGCGCCCGCTCGAGCAAATCGACGAC